AAAAGAATAGAGAGCTTTATTAACAAGATATTCTTTCAGCAATTTTTTTAATTTATTGTAATTTTGCTCATTTCTAATTAAATTTGGCAACTGAGTAAAAAATTTGGTACCCATATATTTAGTTTTGTTTTTATAAAAATGCAGATTATGTTTATCAAAAATAATTTTATTTCGGGTATCATAATGATGCTTGGATTCAAAAAATATATCACTTTCATGTTCTTTGACATACTTTATTGTTTCTAAGACATAAAGACTGTAAACTGTCAAAATTTTAAGATCTTTAAATAAGTTTTCGACACTCTCTGTGCTTTTTAAACCTAACATGATTCGTGATTAGGAGCATTGCAAGCCTATATTTGTTGACTTGGGCATACTCACCATACACAGTAACTACATCCTTCAATGTGTCAGCTACATACACTCCAATGTGCATACCTTTACCACCAGACAACAGGTGCATGTGCATAACACCAGGCACAAAAATCACATTGATGTACCCTATTGTAGGCTCAGCAGGACAAAATACGCTTTTCCAGTCATGGCCCTCAGACTGACCAATAAGTTGCCGGTTGCAGTTAGGCATTTGAACCATAATCAGTTTTAAGCCAGGTTAACCTTTATAGCGGTCCATAGGCGAACAGAGTCTGACATTGCGTCATTGACAGTTCCGGTCCTTTGGCGGACTCAGTCCGACACTATTGCGCAACTTATATCGGAGCTATACATCGACTTAAAACGCGATGGTTGCCGATGCATAGGTTATACAGATATCGGGTAATCGATATATTTCACTTTTAGTCTGTTCCAAATCGTAAAAAGTAAAATAAAACAAGTGTCAGATTGTTGTCAGCTCGAGCTCGCCAGCTGTCAGCTGTCACCAGAGTCTGATCGTCATTGCTGCTAACCTCTATTGTTGTTTAAGTACGTTGTGGTGTATTTTATTCGTGTTGGTGTTATTTTCGCAACAAATATTATAAAGAAGGGTTTGTTCTTTGTTTTTATTTGGTTTTCAATAAGTTTTTATGGCTTCAACAAGTAGAACCGGGCCTGACGTTTTAGATGATGATGAAATAGAGGACGCTTTGTTTGACGATATTGATAGCGAAGAAGACGCGGACGATCCTCTTTTTCATTACTCTTAAAATGAGTCTGAAAGTGATGAAAACGATGTTTTAGGGGAAGAAATGTCGGGAAGTGATGAAGAAAGTGAAGTTGAACCAGAAATACCGATTGATGGTGCGGGTGATGCGGTGAATAGGCCTAGGCGTGGACGACAAGTTAGGCCTAACCTGCTGCCAAAAGTTGACGCTGAGTGGGAGTCTTGCGATGAAGATACTCCTGATTTCGATATTTTACCTTTTGATGACAGTGAATTTGGTTTCGTCAACACAAGAGATCCTGGTCAAGAACCACCTACCAAACCTATAGACTTTTTTAACCTTATTTTCACAATTCAATTGTTTAGTGAAATAGTACAGGAAACAAACAGGTATGTGAAACAAAAGATTGCCAAAATAACACCTCTGCGACAGCACTCTATTTGGTGGGGTTGGACAGATGTGACTGTCAGAGAAATGATTGCGTTTCACGGTGTGCTATTGAACATGGGACGTCAAGCCAGACAAACTTTGAAAAGTTTTTTTTTCCGATGGTTGGGTTGATTCATCAAACGTTTTCAAAGAGGTTTTTTCCAGGAAAAGGTTTTTGCAACTTTTTTGGGCTCTTCATGTGTCTCCACCAGATGGATCCCGAGCCAGAAGTATGCAATCTAGGGCTAGAAAAATAAAAAATGTGATGGATTATGTTGGTAGCAAATTTATTGAACTTTATAGGCCTAGCCAGTTTATTTCTGTTGATGAGTCAACTGTCAGTTTCAAAGGGAGGGTAACGTTCAAAATTAGGGATGGTCAAGTCTCGAAATTTCGGGAAATTTTCGGGAAATTTTCAATCTCGTTACACGAGACGAGATTACTTTTTGGCCGAGATTTTTATCGAGACGAGAATAAAAAAAAAATAAATAAAAAAAATTAAAAACGCCTGCAGAAAGTCAATGCAATACCCGCAATACAGGAGCGTGTTGTAGTTGCGATTCCTTTTCGAAGGCGTTCTTATTTAATTAATTCTTTTAATGTAAATATTACTTTAATTCTTTTAATGTAAATATTACTTTCATTATTTTAATAATATTACTTTAATAACATTTGAGAAGTTTTGTTAAGTGTAAGCAGTGTGAGGAATGTTTTATTACTATAAAAAAGTCAAAACAAGTAACTATTTTATAAAAAATAATATTGCTTTTATTTTATGATTTATTTTATTTTAGGATAAGTTGAACTCTATCCTAACTGATATCACCATGTTTCCTAATCGTAGGCATTTTTAATAAGTTAGGCGTGATTAATAAAAAAATGTTATGCTGATGTTATTTAATGAAAGATTGTAAATATTCTTGCCTATTATCATTATTTTAGTATTTAAACAGTCATCTAACAATGTTACAAAATCAGGTAAAAATTTCGAACGTGCATTTCCCGTTGTGTATGAGAAGAGAAATCTCGTCTCGATCTCGTCTCGAAATTTTATGAGAAATAAAAAATCTCGTCTCGTCTCGTCTCGAACTAAAAATCCAATCTCGTCCATCCCTATTCAAAATGTACAACCCTAAAAAGCCCACTAAGTGGGGACTCCGCCTTTATGTCCTGGCAGACGCAACCACCGGGTATGTAAGCGTAGTGACCCCATACTACGGCTCGTACACCACAAACAGTCTGTTACGCCCCGACTTACCTTTCACTGTAAGAATAATTCTACATTTAGCTGAACAGCTCCAAACTGCTACACAGAATGTAGGTTAATTTTTTTTCACTGACAGAGTCTGAAATGGTGGCGCAAACTTTACTTTTGGATGTTGGAGGTTTCTGTTGTAAATAGTTTTATTTTGTAAAACTTGGACAGGAAAAATCATGACTTACCTGCTGTTCGTCACCTCGATTATCGAAAGCAGCTCATAGAGCAACTCGTAGGCGATGTCCGCAACATGCGTCGTAAGAGAGGTAGACCTTCATCTTTGGACAATGATGCAGCCATTCGCATGAATGGCTTATACCATTCAATCAAGGCTCATGAAGGGAAGAAGACCAAAGACTGCGCTGTATGCTCAGATCGAAAAATACCCGGAGGAAGAAAAGAAACTTCGTTTTATTGTGACACTTGTTCGCGTAAACCGGGTCTTCACCCCAATGGATGTTTTGAAAAGTATCACACAAAGAAAAATTATAGAGACTAGACTTCAAAGCCATCCCTTGTAAATATGTAAATAGTAACTACGGTAGCCTAAATGTGGAACTTGCGATTTATTCCAATTTTTGTTTGAACATTTTTTATTTTTTCGATGTGAGCCTATGTAGATTTATTCTTGGTTTTTAGTCTAGATTTCTTTTACATAAAGCAATGTGAAACTAGTACAGTAGTCCATTTTTATTACCCAGTGATTCAGTGGGTGGAGTTAAAGTGAAAGTGGGAAACTCCAGACAAATGATAGGCCTACTTTTGCTTCCCGTAAGTTACAAATTTTATTTTTATTATTTGTATTTTTATAAGTAATAATTTTCAATATTATGTTTCTAAGATTCTTTTTTACATTACTAGAATGCTCTTAGCTATAAGGAATAATAAAGACCATGGAAGAAATATAAAAAACTGACACTTCCTAGGCTAGCCAAAGAATTTTTGGGTTATTTTGTTTTATTTTTGTACATATAAATAAATGTTTTACTAAACATCAGACATCTCATACATAATTGATTTTCACTGAATTACTAGTATTAACATATCGAATAAGTAAAAAAATTTTTTGCATACTTTGAAAGCATAAAAAGAAAATTTTCTGTCATAAGAGAGATGTTTACAAACACAGGTGATTAATCATACTAATAAATAGGACCTGGTGCAACAGTATACCGCCATTTAAATAGACCCCAAAAGGTTAAAGTGTTGGCTGAAAGCTCGGCCTTACTACTCTCTCAAGGAGTTTTTTTGAGGACGACCTCACAGGCCTTTAAATCCACCGCCATATAAGTTTATTTTTTTTTAGTTTTTTTTTAGTCTTAATGACCATACAAAAATCCTACAGTAAACGGAAGTCTGTACATACTGTAAATATTAGTTTTATTTTTTTATTGTAAATATTCTTGACACAGCCTATCCAGCTTTGCTAGTATCAAGCCAAGGAGGAGGTAATAAGGCAATACAGTAGACTCCCTCTTATCAGGACACCTTTTAACCGGCCATCGGTTTAACCAAACTACACTCGGCGGAAATGACATCTCTTTTACCGGACAATTTTTATCAGCACATTGGTTTAACCGGACTAGATGGCAGGAAGTGGGCAGTACTGAAACGACTGTTCTCGTGGGAAAGATTTGAGACCAGTGATCACGTGTCTAAATACAATGCTCTTCTAAATTTAAGTCAAATACTATATACAGTACGCATTTAAACCTTCTATTTTACGATTTTTTGGGACGTCGGTTTTACCAGAAAACCCGTTATCCGGACTGGCCTCGGTCCCAAGGAGTCCGGATAAGAGGGAGTCTACTGTAAGGTAATGTTAAATTTATTGGTTTAGCAGTGAATCATTAAAAAAATAGGCCTATATTTCTGGAATGGTATATATTGTTTTGATTTGAATGAGTTTGGTTGTTAAAGTGTTTTTTGTACAAATAGGCCTAAATTTTATTTTCTTAATCCCTTTATAAAAAAAACCTACACTAATGAAAAATAATCAGTTTTAAAAATTGAAATAGGGATACTGTATTTCCTTTTAAAAATAAAACAATTAAGTACCATAATTTAAAATGAGGTACTGATGGTACCGGAACCGAAATCCAAGAATCAATTTTGGTTGGGAACCGGTACCGGTACCGACATTGAAAAAGTGATACCGACACATCACTAATTCTAAGTGAAAATTTGTTATGTATAGTGCTATTACTCACACTTTGTTGGTGGACAATAGATGAGACGTATCTTGTAAAAGTGCAAAATAGCCCAGTCGATTACACTGGAACACCAAGAGACCATGCAGAAAGTCAGAAAGCTGGCAACCTTCTTGTCTCCATGAGAGAGAGGGAGGGTGCCACCAGGCGGGTCGTGGAGAGCCACTGAGAGGAGCTCTCAACATGACATACACTGGCTCACTCAGCTGCTCTACTAACATGCCAACTGTAACAGTAGAAGCATTACTTTAACTAGTAGCTGGCAACCTTCTTGTCTCCATGAGAGAGAGGGAGGGTGCCACCAGGCGGGTCGTGGAGAGCCACTGAGATGAGCTCTCAACATGACATACACTGGCTCACTCAGCTGCTCTACTAACATGCCAACTGTAACAGTAGAAGCATTACTTTAACTAGTAGCTGGCAACCTTCTTGTCTCCATGAGAGAGAGGGAGGGTGCCACCAGGCGGGTCGTGGAGAGCCACTGAGATGAGCTCTCAACATGACATACACTGGCTCACTCAGCTGCTCTACTAACATGCCAACTGTAACAGTAGAAGCATTACTTTAACTAGTAGCTGGCAACCTTCTTGTCTCCATGAGAGAGAGGGAGGGTGCCACCAGGCGGGTCGTGGAGAGCCACTGAGAGGAGCTCTCAACATGACATACACTGGCTCACTCAGCTGCTCTACTAACATGCCAACTGTAACAGTAGAAGCATTACTTTAACTCTTGTTTAAAGTTTAAGTAATTTATCTTGCCTAGGTGAATGTAATTTTTATTTTCGTAACAATTGTGTAAATTGTGTAGGGATCTGCAGGCCAGGATTGTTTTACTTCGGGTAGGGTTATTTCAGGTAAATAAAATTTGGCAAAAAAGTCTTGGGCTTAAAACGGGTTGCTTAGGAAAGTATTGATTTGAATTCGAACAAATATTAATAGTAATAGTACTATCGGATTATGCATAATATTGTACAATGTACATGATTTCCCCATACTTTAGATTGCGCATCTTCGCAGACTCTCTATGAATGCAAAAATAAAAGCTCAACTTCGCTTGACCCCAACCGAGTCCCCGGGTGGATATCTCCCCAGGTCACGGTAAATCTAGAACACCTTTGCAGTCACAGCAAAATCCTTAACATCCTCGGAGGTTTCAGCAAAATCAACAACATCTTTTGTGGCCACAGCAACATCGTCATCGTCTCCCACGATCATGGCAAAACTATGAACAGGACGTGCAATTGTTGCATATCCTCATTTTTCGATTGCACATCTTGCAGACGCTCTCTGTGAATGCAAAAATAAAAGCTCCCATTGGCTTGACCCAACCCAAATTTGGCCCAAAAATTATTTCCAGCCAGAGCTTATCCCTAGAGCTGACTGTTGGCCCAACCTGACTCAAAAATATAGGGTACTCGCAGACCCCTAAAATAATCTGTTGAATACAACATCAGGTGATAGCACTTACTGAGTTTGCTGCCAACCACAAAGGAGGTGACTTGTTTGCTGGTGTTGAAGTGGGGGAAGAGGCCTCCATTGCTGTACATAGCCACCAGCAAATGTTCTCCAGAGGGGCTAGAGGGAATGCCTTGGACCTCCAGCTGTTCAAAGAGTCTAGCAGGCACCTGGATGGATGCCTCTACTGTCTACAACAGTAAATCAATGATGATCATTGAATAAAATTATGATGCGGATAATCCTAAAACACTTCCTCAACATGAGAACATACACTTTGAACTGAACAAGTCAGTCCTGCTTCCTAATTAATTAGTTATTTACACATCCTCCCTTGTCGATTTGCTATTATTGTGGATCCGGTAAAAACAGTTTTTAGGTTATTTCTGTCTGGTTTATGTAAAACCCCATTTTGTTGTTTGATGTGTGTTTATAGTTAGTATTAAGCTTATATAAAAACAGTATTAACCATTAACATGACCATAAGCTTAGTATCTATTAATACAGGGTGGAACAAAGTTGGTGTTAAAAAAATTGTATGTGTTAAACTACTAAGTATTGCGGTGGGGCACACGGAAGATTTCTCAGGTGCCGTTTGACGTCACTAACTGCTGACGTCAATAACTGCTGCGTCTGAAGAAACAGACAATTTTATAATTTTCTATTATTAGATTAAACTGTCATAACCTAACCAAACTAACCAAACGTGCTGACAATGGAAAAATCGAATAAAGGTTTACTAATCTAAAAAATAGTTTTGTTCATAAAATAAAATTATAATTGCCTAAAATTCAATTTTATAATTTTTTTATTATAAAATTAAACTGTCATAACCTAACCAAACCAACCAAACTTGCTGATATGAAAAAAATTGTTGATAAAAAATTAGTGCCGCCGGCGGGATTCGAACCCGGAACATTCGGATTATCAGCCTGCAACGCTATCCACTGCACCACCGAGGCCTCAACGTATCTTCAAAGTAGCTCAGAAACGTATCGTTGCGGTATTGGCGTTCCCTCAAAGTGACGTCAGCAGTTAGTGACGTCAAACGGCACCTGATAAATCTTCCGTGTGCCGTTTCGCTAAGTATTGGTGACAAAATTACACCAATTTAGGTTTACATACCCTCACAGGTAGGGGGCAAATAGACAACTAAATACTTTTCAAAATATTTGTATTTGCTTTGATAAAATGGCTGTAAGTGCACTAAACATTGTTTTTATTTTGAATTTATTGTCTTCATTAGGATGTACCTCAACTTTGCCTCCAATCACCCCACACACGTTAAGACACTATTATGCCAATACAGCACAGAGTTTTTTATTAAGAAGCCGATTGTAAACCCTATTGATCTGTATGTCAAAATGTGTGTTTTCGTATGTGAGGAATCGGGGGATCCGATTTTGGCGTTTTCAAACGTTCGAAAATGTACCGTTTAGGCTGTATAGAGAAAAAGACGGAAAAACTCAAATATTTATTTAACCAGATTTTTTTTTTATTTAAATACAATAGTCTCAAACCATACTCCGAAATATTCTGATTCATAATGGTTATTACTACTATGATCGATAATGCAGCCATAAGGAAAATCAAAACTCTTATGTTTGCGAGACTATTATGCCAATGCAGTACAAAGTTTTTTATCAAGAAGCCGATTGTTAACCCTATTGATCTGTATGTGAAAATGTATGTCATATGTGAGGAATCCGATTTTGGCGTTTCCAAACTTTCGAAAATGTACTGTTTAGGCTGTAGAGAGAAAAAGACGGAAAAAAGGTAATATTTATTTTAATCGATATATCTTTTTAGTATCAAAATAAATTAATGCTATATAAAACGATATTTAAACCAATATGGACATATGGAGTGCAACTATGGGGCTCGGCGAGTACTTCTAATGTAGAAATTATCCAAAGATACCAATCGACAATGCTGAGGAAGATAACAAATGCACCTTGGTATGTCACCAATAGAACACTAATCAAGACCTTATAAGATGCCTACAGTTAAGGACGAAATCATGACCTCAAGTGAACAATATATTACGAAATTAGAATCTCATCAAAATCATTTAGCATTCAACTTACTAAAAAACACGGATACAATTTACAGACTTAAGAGGCCATCATTTCTGGACCTGCCCTTCAGATTTTTGTAAAGTGTTTTATTGAAAAAATTTTTGTTGACAGTGCTTAACAGCTAATTTTTAATGCTCAAAAACTAATTTGTTGTATTACATGGCATTTAATTATTGTTCAACATAGCCTATTATAGAACAGATTGTAAAGGAAACAAATAAAAAAAAATCATGACATAGGCCTAGTCAAAAGCTTAACATTTTAACAATCTCTAGCAACAGCTGTTACATAATTGAGCGGAGCGAAGCGAAGCTCTTATACTACACTCCTGCTTTTGTTCTACAAATACTCCTCCTGAACGGCTGAAGTGATCTGCATGAAATTTAGCACAGTCATAGTAATCAACCATGGGAGGGTATAAATCTGAAATGGTACAAATCGGACCACAGGGCTCTTCCCTATGTGAATTTAAACTTTTAGAAATTTAACACGGGCCTTATGGGTTAATTGGTTGCCATGACATTGCAAGATAACAATAAAAAGAAAAAGGTAAACAAAAGTTGTAACATGTGTTTACCAATAAGTCATCTAAACTAGCACATTGCAAAATAGAGAACAAAAGGAAGAACAATCGGATTGATACAGTTGAGCATTATTTGCCACGAAATGTATAACCAATAAGGATTATGAACCATTGGCTTTTGATGTTACAAGTTGACATTTTTCATTTACGTGAACCAGACGTACAATTTAATTTGAATACTGCACATGCTGTACATAGGGATTCCAAATTATGTGAACCAAATATATCATTAACTTTGGATACATCAATTAGACATTACATTAACGTGAACCAGATGCATTATTGACTTTAGATACTGGAAGGATAGATATCCCATTTACAAGAAACAGAGACATTGACTTTGGATACTTCAAGTAGACATTTAATATATGTAAACCAGATGAACTGTTGACTTTGATAATGCAAGTAGACATCAGATTTACGTGAACCAAATGTATCATTATCTTTCGATAGGTACTGCCAGTAGACATTCCATTAACTTCAACCAGACGTGCCATTGACTTTAGATACTGCAAGTAGACATGTAATTTATGAGAACCAGATGAACCATTGACTTTAGATACTGCAAGTAGACATTTCATTTACGTGAACCAAATGTACCATTGACTATGGATACTGCAAGTAGACATTCCATTTACTTGAACCAAATGTGCCATTTGCATTGAATACATTAATAGACATTTAATTTATAAGAACAGAAAGAACATTGACTTTAGATACTGCAAGTAGACATCTCATTAACGTGAACCAATTGTACCATTGACTTTGGATACTGCAAGTAGACTAGACATCCCGTTTACGTGATATAAATGCACCATTGGCATTGGATTGACTTTGGATACTGCAAGTATACTTCCCCTTTACTTATAACAAATGTAGCATTACCTTTGGGTTCTGCAAGTAAACATTCCATTGTTTATGTGAACCAAACGTACCATTGATTAAGGATTCGACCAGGAGACGTCTCATTTATGTGAACTAGATTTAGAATTGACTTTGGATACAGTAAGTAGACATTCCATTTACATATAACAGAAGTAGCATTGACTTTGTTGAAATTGATTAATATACTTGCTCCGTTCAATATTGCAAGCATACAACTGCATTGCACACCTAGTAAATATTAATATTAAGGAAAGACTAAAGCATCACGATCACAGCTGTGGCTAAGTTGACGCCACATCAGCCCCCCCCCCCCCCCGCAGAGACCAGGAAGCTTGACCTTTACATTTTGACCAGACCGAGTTGTATAGCTTCTGAATAATTATGCTGGGTCTGGAAGTTTGAGGGATGTGTTTGAAGGTTGTATATTTTGAGGCTCTTTGATTGATGGTGGAGAGTTCATGTTGTTGCTCTCGTAGTAGATTCGCCATCAGGGGCAGATCCATAGGGAGGTGAAGGGGGTGACCGCCCCCCTCGGGCATACACTTCAACCAGGACGTGATTGAGCCATGCGAACGAGCTAATCTTGAAAATGAACGAGCATTTGACATGAAACCACATTAGGACAGGACGACGTCTGTCGGGCCAGCTAGTAAATCTATGTTATATAAAATCCAATGTATGTTTGTTTGTTTGTCCTTTATGGACTCCGAAACCGCTCAACATTATTGAGCAGCCATTATTGTTTAGAGTTTTGTGTTGGCATGCCTAGAGCCACTAGAGCCCTCCCGGTAGTAATACTGGCGAAATCTGGCACCGGATAATGGCGAAATCTGGCAACACTGTTGAACATAATTTCAATAGCCGTCTCCTCACAAAGGTTTGCACGTTCTCTCCAATCTCCTCATAAGGGGGATATCTCTCATTACTGCTGTAGCCCCACAAGTCACCTAAATTTTAACATTTAAATTTTTTAATTGTTGAGAGAGAAGGGTGTTTTTAAAACTGTTATATTTTTCGAAGAAAATCTGTGTTTTCCGATTTTCAATATCTTAAACGGTAACGGAGTTCCCGCAAGGGACCGTGGATTCAGTCTCCTCGCAAGTCACCTTTTGCTGGACAGAGAGAGAGAGAGAGAGAGAGAAAGAGAGAGAGGTTGCTGCTGATCAAATTGAAGAATATTGGATTGGAGGAAATGGCTCTAGAATTATTACGATCATACCTATTCAATCGAAAGCATCGCACAATTCCACAATAGTAATAAAAAAATCAATAAAATATTATTCTAATTGGGCCAGCGTTACATATGGTGTTCCCCAAGGTTCCATACTTGGGCCTTTATTATTTATTATATTTATTAATGACTTGCCTAATTGCCTTTCCACAAATTCCTGTGCTTTCACTTTGTATGCCTATGACACAACTGCTCTTTTAAAAATAAAAACACTAAGTGAACTTAAATTAACTTTAGACAGAACAATTAAAAAAATCAATGAGTAGTTTGAGAGCCATGGTCTGAAATTAAATGAATGTAAAACTTATGTTCTTCAATTTAAACTCAGAAACAGAGTTACAGACACCACAATCAGTAATACAAAAATTGTTAAGTTTTTGGGTCTAAATTTAGACTCAAAATTAAGTTGGTCCG